CGAAAGCCTTGATGCAAGCATAGGTAATATGGATAGTAGAGGTAACTCAGAATCTCGTGAGCTGTGGCCTTGAATGCGCAGAATGCAGAGGCAATACGATGGAAACGCTACTACATACATTAGGTAAAAACATTATAGGTTTTTCTATCTATTCTGCTCTTGGACGTCGAACGGGTAACATCAGCCTAGCAAAGGCGTTCTTATCATTTTTCCAGGGGTGTTATTTTTAATTATCTTAAGAGCTACAACCCATTCTTTTTCAAGACTACTAGTAGATCTGGCAGGCATAATGTAAGTTACAATAAATTAGCGAATGAAACATTGCATGAAAAATTATTTTTCAAAAATAGGGATCGAAATAACAAGAAAGTTGTTCATAGCCAAGGACGACAAATTTTAATTCAATGTGTTTGAATATACATATGTAGCGAGAAAAGAAAACAGAAGGATTAACCATACCTCTTCGCCGTTTATTTGAGAAAGTAGCTGAAGCTACAGGTGTATCCATAAATACTGTGAAGCGTGTTGTTAAAGAAAATCACTCCAAAAATCACTCCGAACCACCGAATACAAAATGTACTTCTCTTCGAAAAACCATAAACAAATCTAGCCCAAAGTCGTCAGTGGATCAATTTGACGAAGAAGTTATTAGAAATGTTACATACAAGTTCGCGCATATCCATAAAAGGAGACCTACAATGAAGGCGGTATACGATGCTGTTATCAACGATGGTGTCCGAGTAACTCTTAATGGAAAACTGATGTCATTCTGGAAAGTACTACGCAAATTGGGCTTCCGTTGGAAAATAACAGAAAGGTAGAGATTGAAAAGCCGGAGATCAGAGCGAAGCGGAAAGAATACTTGGGATGACTGAAAGAGTACAAAGATCTGGGTGAGTAGATATATTTCAAACGACATGAAAATACAAAATTTATGATGTTTTTCAGTATAAGAGAATTTGTTTTTATCTTTTAACCATAGAAAAACTTTTGTAGGCAGAAATAATATCGTTTACGATGACGAAACACACATACATAGCTCACACACAGTACCGAAAGCATGGGATGATGGAACAGATAGTTGCTTAAAAGCACCACTTGTAAAAGGTAAATGTTTAATCATTGCACATGGAAACAAGCATTAGATCGCGTCACTCCAGAAACATAGAGAGACGTATGCGACCATGCATCAAGAGTGGAGGAAGAATACCTAAATCGAGAATATACAGGGTGGCGCATCGAAAACGAAACAGACGCATTTACTGGCAGTTGATTTTTTTTTTTGAAAAACGCTCAGACCCGTCGATTTTGTTTTCGAGGGAGACACAAGTTTGATAAAAATCGCGTGCAGCCCCCTGGGCGGGGGTGACACCAACCCTAAAATCTTAAATAGGAAGGTGGGTCGAGTGATACCTTATTTTAAAGGTCTTCCAATTCCCTTCATAATGATGTAAAATACATAAGAACATAAGTTCAGTAGTTTTGAAGATTTATTGACTTAAAGCTTAAAGTAGACTTTAATAGGTACATCAGATTAGTTTAGTACTAGTTTCAGAAGAAATTTGACTAAAAGGATTTACTTAATAAGTAAATGCTTTTATTCACTACGCCCATGGTTTGTTAATCATTTTGTTGTTGAAAATAGCGATTGGAGCGTTTTTTGTGGCAAAAAAGTTATTTCTTGAAGAAAGATAAGGGAATATCTCGTACTTATTTTAAACAGGAACTTAGTACATAGTTTGCGATTGATTTAACCAAACTTTGTTGCTAAAATAACTTGTAACGATTTATTACATAAATTAACCATGGTATATTCCACAGCAGAAAGAGTTGAAATTATCGAAATATGTTTCGGAAATAATCATTGCGCTAATAGAACAGCAGAAATATTTAATGAGAGACATGAGAACAGTAACGTGCATCGAAAATATGTTCTAGAACTCGTAGCTAAATTTCGGAAAACCGGGTCAGTCGCCAATAAAAAACGCAACATTGAAAATCCCATAAGGAACGAAGCAATAGAAGTGGGGGTTTTAGGGCAAGTTTATGTGGATCCTACATTAAGTACCCGCAAATTTGAGACTGTGCGTGGTGTTAGTCGACGTACTGTCCAACGGATTCTAAAGGCCCATAGTTTTCATCCGTATAAAATTCACAAGAACTTAATGAAGACGATTTTGATCAGCGATTACAATTTTGTGAAGATATGAGTGAACGAATTATAAACGATGAACATTTTCTATTCAACACTTGCTTTTCCGACGAATGTTCCTTTTTCTTAAATGGCATATTAAGTCCTCATAACGCTGCTGGTGCTCCCCAATGTTTTTAGGACTGCATCTGAACGAGAGAGATAGGGGGAATATCCCTAACTCTGTGTCCACCCACCTCCCCTCTTGCGCATTGCGCGGCTCACGAGAAAGCGTACTAGCTCTATCGACGGTTGTGAATAAGCCTTTGGACAGAAGTTCTGCATATATCAGTTTCTGCTCCAGTTTGCCGTGCACTTTAATGGGAATTTTCCTGCAACTTTAATAGAACTTCCAACTGATTCGCCTCATTGGTGACACTTGGACTATTTATACATTTTTTACTATATTCCACTGCTCCACTTGATTCAAAACGTTCTCGTAGTGTGGAAAATGTTTCCGGCCTTGAATGTCGCATATTAGGGTACCATTGCTTATAAATGCGAGATGCTAGGAACACCATATTCACCATTACTTATTTAGAAAAATTCATTTTCAAACACGTTTTTATTATAATGCTTACAAAGCTAATTTTGACAATTTGTAACTAATCAACAATTTATTTGTTTCCAAGGAAGATGCGACATTTTAGGGAATTAAGCCGTTCCATAAAAGATAGCCGTAAAAACTCTTATGTGTCTAGTATAAAAAAAAGGTTATAAAAAGTGAATCCAAACTTGCACAAATATACTAGGTGATGCATTTGAAATTTTGACCACCCTGTATGAGCAAATATTAAAATTCGAAAAAGTAATAAATAAGATAAAAGCTGAGGTGTGTAAGTTTTTTTTTATACGAAATTCAGCACCCAAAATGGGGGTTTTTCTAGACAAAACACCTTATATTGCAGTAGCTAATTACCAAAACCCCATAGTATGTCACATCAGTTTTTTTCTTTTGAATTGGGTAATCCAAATATGCAATAAAATTTGAAGCATTCCATTTGAAAAATCGCAACTTTGCTATGTAGGTCGAGATTGGGACACCCTGTATAATTGCCAATATTTTAGAAATATTCCCTTAAATGTCATGTATAACATTCCATAAATAGATTTTCCCAAAATATATGTTTATGAGTAATATTCCGTCTACACATGGATGGGCCACCCTGTATACCTCATTGGCAGCATATTCAGTAATAGTTTTCTCTCATAGCAAATATCACTGATTTTATACACATTCATCTCAATACACATAATCTTCCAGATGCGACCTTGCTATTCAAACAACTTTCTCTATCACATCTTCTCTAGAGGCTACTCGGCTTCACAAGACATACTTGCTATCTGCAATCAACAATGCGTATAGTTGAGTCATTACTCGACAGATGGACGCTCACAGCGGTCATACCGAGCAAACGTGGTATGAACTATTTGCACGTGCCGTCCTAACGGCGCGCCATTTTAGGTCGAAATGAAAGGTCGGAATCGCCACAAATTCTGCAATATTGCAACATTGGTTCATTGATAATACCCCATCATGTATATACCACGGCAATGCTTAAACCTCCATGATCATAGTTGAGCGATTTTGGTCAGATCTAGCACTCGGGGGGATTGTCGTCCTGCTTCGAAATGGCTTTCACCTGAGTTAACGCAGGCAGTGATAATTTGTATTGCGCAACCTTATTTGTTACATTTTCCGGCCGCAGCGCTGATACAAAATGTAACAATAACTCAGGATGCGTTGATTTTATCACCATCGGTGGAATTCAAAAATAACTTTAACTAGTTCGCACTAAAATTGAAATAAATTATTCTAATCAATGCGAAAGCAAATTATTAAATTAAATTTTCGAACAGACCTCCTCCTTGGGCTTGACAGTAAAAATAATCTAATGTAGCAGCCTGTGCGAACATTTTCTGATGCAACATATTGGTAACACGGAAGATTGCTCGACCTTCTACGTCACTGTTGCTAGACAGTGTGGCGATGACCTTCGCTCTTCAACCGACTTCTATCTCTTTCTAACATGTGTCGATGCATCCTTCTCGCGCTTCTCTCTCTTACACGTTGTCAAATTTGGTTGTTCCTGTATAGTATCTCATACACAACTTCTTACGTCACCTTCTCGGTGGTGCACCCCGTTATTTTGTGACTGACGAGGAAATAGCGAACGATGACTATCGGTTCAAGTGGCCAGGGTCTCTCCGGGATGATTGACCAAATTCTGGTAACCGATCTAACACGCGGGATCACCTCTCAAGAGGTTTTTGACAGCGTCTGTCCTGGAGCGGACTGTCAAGGGGTAGACCGAGCGCCTTGAGCCGTAGCGAAGGTCTAGGGATGCTGACCTCGATAAGATGGATCGATATTTCAACGTGACAGCCTCCTGGAAGTGCCCATGTGAGCTTGCTCTGATAGCACAAAAGAGAGAACGAAAACTTCGAAGCCACCCAACTTATTTTTTCGCACGCTCGATATTTCTCCGTTGCTAGCTGACAGCTTTCTTCACTATATTATCTATGGTATTTAATATTAAGACCACTTTATTTGCAATTTTTTCTTATAGATCATAAGCAAAGTGCTTAACTGACATTGTCATTAATTAGACCATTGGTCTAGGGTCAAATTTGCCAAGCTTCTGTAATTAACGTCTTCGAAGATGGTTGCCATGACTACCACTGAATAGAGATGGTACTTACGGTTGTGAACGTTTTATAACTGAACTTTTAAGCTTTAGTCAAATGTCCCTGCACACGCCACATCAACCCCTTCATAATGGTATTATTTCGATGATTTTGTGCTTACCTGTTCATGTTCTATACACAGAGGACAAGGATTTGTTGTCACGATGTTCTCGATCTGGTCAATAACAGGAACAATTTTTACTTCTGGGATAGTAATTTGCTCTGCTTTGAGCTTATTTCTGTCGTATAGTTGCTTTTCTCTATAGAATACGCTCACTAGTGCTTCTTGTATGTTCTTCTCCAATATTTCAAGGTACAAGACCATGTTGGAATAGTTGATCGTCTCATTGTGACCTGAAGAAGTTCAGAATCTTGAAACTACAACTATCCCTCAACAATCATACAACACATATATTGGTATTAACTAAGTATTTCTCTTCCAACTCGATGTGATCAGTCGTTACTGATAATTATTAGATTTAGGCAAAGATAAGTAATGTTTCTTAGAGTCTCCCATAAGTCAAGTGCAAATTTTTCCTAAAACTTATAATCTTCATAATAAAAATAGCTAGAGCTACTGTTGGTCTTTTAGATAAAAAAGTAAATTTACATTCATTAATTGTTTTTTCATAAAATTTGTAATATATATATATATAACTTGAGACGTGGTCATTGTCGTCTAGACCAGTTAGGTGAAAAATTAAAGCTTCCGCCTTTTGTTGGGTACTTCGACAAAATTTAAGCAAAGAGGACTCTTTATACTTTTTTAATTCTCTCTAGCTTTCAATGGACTTTGCCATCATCATCAGGAGCTGCAATTACAATGATAACAGTAGCAACAAAAGTGTAAAATGAATTTAAATTGACTCAACTTACAGTAGTATGTGAGGATGTTGCTAATTGTTGTTTACGTATAGGATGAGGGAAACGTCCAGTAACATGTTGAGAGCTGGATACATGGTACAATGGTCAAAATTATATAAAATATGACAAGAACAAGTTAAAAACAGATTAAAAATTATTTAAAAAACATTAGAGCATTACATCGTGAAGCCACTTGATGATTGCACAAAATGGTGGTCATGGAATAATGAGTGAGATGAACCCTTTGACAGAAGGCCCAAGGTTGTCAATGTCTGCGTTGAAAGATGGAACGAATTGTGGGCGTGTGCTAAAACGTTGCCAAATCACTTCAGATGATGTGATTTTCAGAATGTTATGTAAGAAATTGTTAAACCGACCAGAGGCAGTTGAATAAACTATATTTTAATTAATGAGAATTTAAATTAACAATTATTAATAAATCGTGAGAAGAGAATTATTAGATTTTGAGTGGAATGAAATTTACTGGTGTTTTGGCCGATTCCACCAGTAAATTTCATTCCACTCAAAATCTAATAATTCTCTTCTCACGATTTATTGATAATTGTTAATTTAAATTCCCATTAATTAAAATATAGTTTATTCAACTGCCTCTGGTCGGTTTAACAAATTCTTACATAACATTCTGAAAATCACATCATCTGAAGTGATTTGGCAACGTTTTAGCACACGCCCACAATTCGTTCCATCTTTCAACACATACATTGACAACCTTCGGCCTTCTGTCAAAGGGTTCATCTCACTCATTATTCCATGACCACCATTTTGTGCAATCATCAAGTGGCTTCACGATGTAATGCTCTAATGTTTTTTAAATAATTTTTAATCTGTTTTTAACTTGTTCTTGTCATATTTTATATAATTTTGACCATTGTACCATGTATCCAGCTCTCACCATGTTACTGGACGTTTCCCTCATCCTATACGTAAACAACAATTAGCAACATCCTCACATACTACTGTAAGTTGAGTCAATTTAAATTCATTTTACACTTTTGTTGCTACTGTTATTATTGTAATTGCAGCTCCTGATGATGATGGCAAAGTCCATTGAAAGCTAGAGAGAATTAAAAAAGTATAAAGAGTCCTCTTTGCTTAAATTTTGTCGAAGTACCCAACAAAAGGCGGAAGCTTTAAAGGCGGAAGCTTTAATTTTTCACCTATATATATATATATATATATATATATATATATATATATATATATATATATAACCTCAGCATTATTAGGAAAGATGGAATCTCGAAGGATTTTTCAATAGTTGATAGATTTTTGAGTTCTTCCAAATCAGTCAGTGGTTTAAAAAACATAGCTATGGTGTTGCCATTCATTAACATAATTAAAAAAATTCCGCCCTAATCCAACCTGATCGGTCCAGTTTTTTTTCGTCGACTATGTGTTCCCTCTCACTGTCGTTTAAGTACAATTTCAGCAATAATCTCGCCGACTTAGTAACTAATCATTTTCCTCCTAATTGTTAATTGTTGCTATTTTCTCAAGAATTGTTTTTTAGCTCCAGACGATCATGGCATAGACCATCGAAAGCTCGAGTTCAAGTTATATGAGTGTACTTATGCAAAACTTCGCCTTCAACCCAAAGCAATTTAAGGATATTTTCTTACATATAGGTATATATGATAAAATCTCGAAGGATTTTTCAATAGTTGATACATCTTCAATTACTTCCAAATCAATCAGTGTTTAAAAAATTTTAAAAGAACATAGCGATGGTTTGCCATTTATCAATAAAATAATTCCGTCCTAATCGAACCTCATCGGTCCAGTTTTTTGTTCCTCGACTATGTGTTCCCTTCAATGTCGTTTAAGAACAATTTCAGCAACAATCTCGTCGACTAGTAGCAATTATATCTTTTCCTTCAAATTGTTTATTCTTGCTATTTTTCAAAAATTGTTTTTTAGCTCCAGACGATGATGGCATAGACCGTCGAAAGCTCGAGTACAAGTTATAATAGTGTATTTATGCAAAACTTTGCCTTCTACCCAAAGAAATTCAAGGATATATATACAGGGTGACTTTGAAGTTGAGTCATTAATTTTCAGATGATTGTAGAAGGAAGATAAACCAAAATATGTGTGTAAAAATAAAAAAAAATTAAAAAAAAAATTTTACCTTGTTTTATAAAGTATCCTCCCGACAAGTATTTCAGTGCGGACCTGTATTTGATCGTGCGGTCGTGGAGCACCGGCATGCCCTCCCCTGTGAGGTCTTAAGTCACCTGATTCACGAGTTCTTTGTACTACATTAACAAAGGCACGAGGGGTTGGTTGCACTCGATTGGAAAACCGATCCGCATAAATCCGTGATGCCGCGGCAGCATTTTGTAAAGACTCCCCTCCGTAAATAAGAATCATGTCCACAAGTTCAGCATTTTCGTAAACATGTGCCATTTTTTATTTCGTTTGAGCCACGCAACAAACATCACTATTCACTCACGCGTTGTCGACTGACACATTGACTGAATACAACTGAATAAAATTGTAGTAAAAAAAACATCGTGATAAGCGTTTCAAATTCATTTGCTTTTTTGTTTCCGATGCGATTAACTTCTAACTAACTTCTAAAGGGCTATAACTTTGTTACTTTAATTTTACCAGAAAAATGTTAAAGGAAAAAAACATTTCTTTTGATCAGATCTACTCACTGTTAAAATAAATGACTCAACTTCGAAGTCACCCTGTATATACAATGTGTTTGGTCAGGACATACCTATATTTAAGAGGGGTATTTTTTAACAATTTTTATTGACAAATCCACCCCCCTACCATGTCCTACCTCATCCCCCTTGAAATGGCAACCATTTTTATTTTACGTTACGATTACGGTAGTGCATGCATGTAAATTGTAATAACTGAGTATGTAATTGTCACAGAATGATAAATTTGGTGTCATTTGAACGATGACAAGTTCTCCTAGCGATTATTGAGAAACTTATTTTGATACGAACCGTCGAACATACGAATCCACTAGGATCACAACACCCTAAATCCACTTTAGCTAAATGTGCAGGAAAGCAAAAAAACATTTTAGCTAACTTTTGAATTAACATATATGACGAGATATGCTTTTTAGGATTCCTAATAATCATATATTCAGTAATATAATGTAAAAATACAATATTCCTTAGGCTGAAAGTGGCAATTTAAAAAATAAAATCGGATTTAGTGCAGTTTGCAACCAAACCATGGATTTAGTGGAATATGAAACTGTCTAATATGGATTTAGTGGATTTTGACGTGGACTGAATTTTATTTTCAAGATTTAATAATACTAGGTATGTAGGAAAAAAGTGTTACCTTTATTTTTAACAAAAAGTATTGAAACAAAATCAAAACAAAACATGTTTATGAAATGTTTCAGCAAAATAAACGGCACGCGTTAAACTGATTAGCACATTTGGAAAACTCAAGAGTTAATTTCGGCAAAGAAAAGAAGTGATGATCTATACTACAATCTAAACTAATACATCTGGAACTTCTGCCATTCTTTCACAAAGCTCAGTATTTTCTGAACTACCTTGCTCAGCCTCTTCTCCTTCATCTCCGTCATTGGTTGCTCTGTTTTCTACTAAATGTTTTTCAAACACATTTTTATAATATCCTAAGCAAGTCAATCCCTTCCATGCGGTGCCATAATGTTTGGTCAAGAGCTTAGCTACATCTTATAGTTTTGCTTGTTTTGGCGGTATGCCACTACCTATTGGGAGCTGATTTAATGATTCGAGATTTTTTTTGGTTTGCATACGGTCTTGTAGACTCCTAAGTCTGACCGGTAACTTTGCTCACCTCTTACTGTGACTGTATTGTTTCTTCCTTTTTTCAACAGAAACCTTTTAACCATATTGAATTTAATATGCCATTGGGCGGGTGGTTTCAAAACTTCCCTAGTTGCAGACTTCCAGTCAAAAACAGCTACATCCTTGCCTAACTCCACTACGCAACCATGTTCCTCAAAAATGTTGAAATATTCTTTGGGCTCTATGATTTGGTCCTGTCGCCTTATCTTCTTGTCAATGCCTGCGAAGACCCTATCTGGAGGTATAAATGAATGCCCAACAACTGGAAAGATCAGTTCGAGTTCTTCAACTGACGAAGTACTTAACCATTTTAGGCACATACCTAACATAATTGTGTTTTTATTCTGACCTCCACATCCATCAGCCATGAGACGTATTTTCCTTATGCCATTAATATTGCTATTATTCAGCGTATAAAACACTGCAGACGCAATCTCGTTAGCTCCTTTCGTATGTTGGTCCTCCATCCAGGCAAATATTCGCACGTTTTCTGGTGTCAGCTTAGAATGTGAATCACCGGTTGCAGTTGTGAAATTATAAAGATACAGTTGTCGACTATAATACACACTTTGGTCAGGTATTTTTGGAAGCGTGAGATTCTTTTGACAGTCAAAACTCATAGTCAATAAATCGTCTCGTTTTTCTCGCAACAGAGCG